CTGCTGAAGGCAAGTGCCTGGCACAGAATAAGTGACAGACCAATCTGAACCATTATCACAAAATCTCCCTTACCATCGTACTTGGAAGAATAAGGAGAAAATAACAGGCAGAGAAGAGTATCAGCCTTATTCCTGGTAGTGTGTACATGCATGTGTGCGTGCATGTATAGGTCTGTGTGCCTGTGCACACACAGAGGCCGGAGGAGGGTGTCAGGTGTCCGTCTCTGCCACTCTTCACCTTATTCCTTTGAGGCAGGGTCTCTCTCTGGACCCAAAGCTCTAGCTCTTTGGCTAAAATGGCAGACAGGAAGCCCCAGGGGTCCCTGTACCTGCCCATCACTGCACTGGAGTTACAGGTGTGCACGGGCCTGCTGCCAGGCTTGTTACACAGGTAACAAGCACTCTTTATCCTCAAGCCGTCATGTCTCCAGCCCCATGTTACGTTTTTTTTTTTTTTTTTTTTTTTTTTTTTTTTCGAGACAGGGTTTCTCTGTATAGTTTTGCGCCTTTCCTGGAACTCACTTTGGAGACCAGGCTGGCCTCGAACTCACAGAGATCTGCCTGGCTCTGCCTCCCGAGTGCTGGGATTAAAGGCGTGCGCCACCACTGCCCGGCCCATGTTAGGTTTTTTTAACATGGAAGGTCACATGCCATTATTAATTCTAAATTTCAAGAATTAGGATATTCTTATACCAGTTGTTTGATGAGTCTGGTATTATAACTTCTTCACCAGTGTTATACTTAATGAAAATACTGCAATGGCTGTCAGCACTAATGCAACCGTTGTCTTAGTTTTGGACGTTTGGGTTTCTAATAAATTTTCTCTGTAAATGTGTATCAATGCATTTCCCCACATTTTTACTTATTTCATGGGACAAAAAGTAACAACTAGACCACTGTGCAGAAACACCTTAGTCACATGACCTGCTCTGCCGCTTCGCTGTCCAGGGACTGTCTCAGTTAAAGCCAATTCTCCACACTGCTTGCGCCCTCTACAGTTTATATCAGAAATAGAACACAGTAGTTTTTAAATTTTCTAAGTATAATTGGCTTGAAATAAGAAAACACTACACAAACTACATGTCTATGTAGCCCTCTTTTCTATTTTTATCTCATTAAGCAATCCAGAGTAACTTGATTCTCTTGTTTTTTTGTTTTGTTTTGTTTTGAGACAGGGTTTCTCTGTGTAGTTTTGGTGCCTGTCCTGGATCTCGCTCTGTAGACCAGGCTGGCTTCCAACTCACAGAGATCCGCCCTCTTCTGTGAGTACTGAGATTAAAGGCATGCGCCTCCCCGCTTCTCTTAAATTGGAAGTCCTTATCTATGGCAGTAACGGTGGGCCCCTTAAAGCACCTTCATGCTTCCTTTGTGCTCCCTTGTAACAATCCCTCACCCATGTAACCCTAAACTCTACATTCTGTAACCCCAAAACCATTTCCTCCTCCTCATCACCTCTGGTGCCTCTTTGCTCTCTGGAGATACCAGGTGACAGTCTCTTTAAGAATTGCTTTCAGTCCTGCTCTTCATCAGTACCAACTTCAGGAACTTTCTTAGCTTCTGAAGGAGGATGGCATGCCTAGGTGCTTGGAGGCCTAGTGGCAGTACCGAATACTGGATATAGTGTCCCCAGCATGTCTTCCGGCTCTTGGTCCAGAGCAGAATGGAATGCACTGTCACCAGCCCAGCCTCTGGGGGTTTGGGCTCTGAGGACCTAATGAGTTAGTTAATGCTTTGAATTGCCTTTTCATAAGTCCTGGCTGCACGCTTGGAGAGTTTTGTTTCTGTTTTTATAAGTCTCAGTGAAGGCTGAATTCCAAGACAAATGAGCTAGAAATACCAGGGCTGGCACCTGGGCATCCCAGTGTTTAAGAAGCTTTTTTTTGAAAGAGATCCTCATATGCAGTCACAGTTGAGACCTGTGAGTGCGTTGAACAAATGGAACGACTTCCAATGTGCCAAAGCAGAATGCAGTGAATGTTGTTCTTATCACTTGGCCCAACCAGTGTGCCGTTCACTGTCTTAGCCCATCTGGACGAGTTCTGCTTTCAGCCAAGTTTAGCCATGGAAGCTCTTAGTCAGTCCTCTTTTTCTCCAAGAGCACGGCACAGGAAGGACAGGCTTCCTCCAGGAGCTGTCCACAGAGATCTGGTTCCTGTACTGCCTTAGCATGAGAATACTCCGGAACGCAACCCTGGGTGGTTTGTTTCCAAACAGGGGACTCTCAAACCCAATCCAACCCAACCAGGTAGTTGGGTCGAGGCAGAAAAGCCTGATTCTGCACCCAGGAGCCGATGTAACTGGAAAAGTTAAGGCTAAACACAGAAAACTAGCTGTAGCTCTTTGTCTTGAGATCGTGGAGGCAAAGACTTCAGGTTTTAAATACTTTAGAGGCATTACCCATTTAAGAGTCGAGATCCAGAAACAAATTGACAGCCTTTGAGGTGCAAAAATGCAACTTTCTATAACACCCATTTTCTAGATAGGGTCATGGCTGTATTTGGGGGATTATAGTTACCCAAATTCACCCAGCTGTATATTTAAAACCTGTTGTAAGTAAGACACACCTCACTTTATAAATAAAATAGCGTAAACTAGGCATAGTGGAGCATGCCTTTAATCCTAGTACTCGGGAGGCAGAGGCAGACGGAGGACCTGTGAGTTTGAGGCCAGCCTGGTCTACAAAGAGTTCTAGGACAGTCAGAGCTACACAGAGAAACCTTGTCTCGAAAAACCAAGAAAGGGAAGGAAGGAAGGAAGGGAGGGAGGGAGGGAGGAAGGAAGGAAGGAAGGAAGGAAGGAAGAAAGGAAGGAAGGGAGGGAGGGAAGAGAAAAAGAAAACAGTAGAAGGCAAATAAAGTTGGCAAAGTGAGAAAGACTCCAAACCATTGTAGGTGAATGCCCTTTCTGATCTGGCTGACCGGGAACCAGTGGGGTGAGAACTGTGCATGGGAAGAGAAGGTAACACCGCGGGGCTCTTACTCAGCAGAATGAAGCTCAGGACCCATTGAAAAACCGCAACAGTCTGCAGGCGCCGGGCCAGCGGGATGTTGAGTGGAGCGAACTCGATCTTCATGGTCTCACCCAGAGGACAGCACCTTCCACAAGGTCTGCAGTACTGATACTGACCCGCAGGCGGTGGCTCCAGCGGGCGGGGGTTGAGGGGTGTGTGTGTGTGTCAACCTGCCTCCTACCGACTCCTTCCGGCTAGGGCCTGGGTTTCCACCCGGCTTTGACCATTTGCTCATGTGATCTACCACACTGCGCTGGGCTCCAGAATCCGCCCTTAAACCCACCCCTTCCTTCGAACCCAGTAACTGGGGAATGGTTAGTTTGGTTGTTTGGGGCTTCGAGCACCAGCTGGAGGTAGACGTGGGACTTAAGTTTATTGGTCTGGGTCTTCACACTACCCTCACGCTGTGTGTGTGTGTGTGTGTGTGTGTGTGTGTGTGTGTGTGTGTGTGTGCTTTCTTTTGTGTCCTAAAATTCTTACACAAATCTTGGGTAATTCTCTTTCGTTCATTCTCTCTCAATACATTTTTACTGAAAGCCTAACAAATTACCATTATCTTGTTTGCAGAGAAAAATAACTCTTGGGGAAAGGACCAATCTAAGCAAAATAACCACACAACTGAATAGTAGATAATTTCAAGACCCTATTATGGGCACAGGACTGAAAGATCCAGAATCTGGAGGGACCTGACCTCTGTGTCTGCCGGTCCTTCTTAGAGATTACCTGAGTAACAGTAATGTGTGTGGTGGCCAGAGGTCAGCCTCAGATACGTTTCTCAAGACTACTGTCTTCCCTTTCCACTTTGTTGAGATAGCACCACTGGAACCTGGGGCTCACCCAATTAGGCTATGCTGGCTATCCAACAAGCCCCAGGAATCCTCTGTTCTCACCTCCCCAGCCTGACTTTTTACCTGATTCTGGGCACAAGACTCAGATCCTCACGCTTGCAAGCATTTTAACAATTGAGCTATCTCTCCAGCCCTTGACCCGAGTTTTAAACGATTAATTGATGGAGATCTACCGAGCAAAGAGAAATGTGTGCGCAAAGGTCATCCTAAGAAAAGAGGAAGGGAACCATTTATGACTTCTTGCTGGCAAAATTGGTTTTGTTGTTGATGTTGTTTTTGTTTTATTTTTCTGGTTGAAGAGTTATTTTCCTTCTCTGATTTTTTTCTAAACCATCTTCGATGCTAGGTGGGGATACTGTGATTATAAACTATGTCCCACAGTGTGAAGATCCCTTGCTAGGTTGGACCTGGCTCCGTAGCAACACTTCAAAGTATCCATTCCGCTTTGCAGCTAAGGAAATCAGGGCTCAAAGTAGAGGCCAGCCTGGGCTACACCAGATACTGTCTCAAAAATTAAAATAACCTTGTGTGGGGGGGTGAGGGGCTGTTGTAGGGCAAGTGCTAAGGACCATGGCTTACCCTGTCCTGGAAGCTAGGCAGAACAGAGATGGATTGAGACACAGATGAAAGGTACAAACAGTAGGAGAAGCTGAACACCTAAAACTCCTGGTCCTAATCACTTAGAATGTTACTGGTGATGCCTTTGTCATTATCCCACAGAAATCAGCTGGTAAATAACAATCAAATCTTTTGTTGAGAGGGACTCTTGTAGCTTAAGTGAGCCTTGAACTCCATGTGTTCATGGACTTGAACTCCTGATCCACCTGCTCTGTCTCCCTAGCTAAGGGGCTACCAGCATGCAATGTAGTGATCAGCAAGAACCATTATATTTTTTAAAAGACTTATTTTTATTTTAAAAGTGTGAATGGATTTTTTACATTTTGATTTTATGTATATAGGTGTTCTGCCTGCATGCCTGTCTATCTGTGCATTATATGTATGTCTGGTGCCCACAGAAGACAGAAGAGGGCATTAGATCCTCTGGAACTGGAGTTACAGACAGCTGTGAACTGTCATATGGGTACTAGAAATTGGACCCAAGTCTTCAGGTAGAGCAGCAACTTATTTATTTATTTATTCACTTTACATACCAACCACAGATCCCCTTTCATCCCTCCTCTGGCTCCCCCTACCCCCCATTCTCTCCTCCAACAAGGTAAGTTCTTCTACAGGGTGACAGCTAAGTTTGGTACATCCAGTTGAGGCAGGAACAAGCCCCTCCCTGATTTATCAGGGGTGAGCAAGGTGTCTGACCATAGGTAATGGGATCCAGAAAGCTGGCTCATGCACCAGGCTTAGATCCTAATCACACTGCCAGAGGTCCCTCAAACAGACCCAGCTACACAACTTTCTCTGGTATGCAGAGGGTCTAGTCCGGTCCCATGCTGGCTCTACAGCTGTCAGTCTCAAGTTCCTTTGAGCTTGGTTCAATTGTCTCTGTAGATTTCCCCATAATGGTCTTGAGGCCCCTTGCTCATATAATCCCTCTTCCCTCTCTTCCACTGGACTCCCAGAGCTTGGTCTGGTGCTTGGTTGTAGATCTCTGCATCTGCTTCCATCCATTACTAGATGAAGGCTCTATAATGTCAGTTAGGATATTCACCAATCTGATTACCAGGGTAGGCCAGTTCAGGCACCACCACCACTGTTGCTAGTAGTCTAATCTGGGGTTGTCCTTGTGGATTCCTGGGAATTTCCCTAGCACCGGGTTTCTCCCTCACCCCATAATTTCTCCCTCTATCAAGATATCTCTTTCATTGCTCTCCCACTCTGTCCCTCCCCCAGCTTGACCATCCCATTCCCTTATGTTCTCATCCCCCATCCTCTACCCTCTATTGTCCACCCCTCATCCCCAGTTTACTCATCGGGATATCCTCTGTTTCCCCTTCCCAAGGTGATCCGTACATCCCTCTTAGGGTGCTCCTTGTTTCCTAGCTTTTCTGGAGCTGTGGGTTGTAGTCTGGTTATCCCTTACATCTAGTGTCCACTTATGAGTGAGTACATACCATGTTTGTCCTTCTGAGTCTGAGTTACCTCACTCAGGATGATATTTTCTTGCAAATTTCATGATGTCGGTTTTTGTTTTTTTGTTTTTTTTCTTTTGTTTTTTTTTTTTTTACAGCTGAGTAATACTCCACTGTGTACCACATTTTCTTAATTCATTCTTTGGTTGAGGGACATCTAGATTGTTTCCAGGTTCTTGCTATTATGAATAATGCGAGTAGCAACTATGTTTAAACTCTCCAGCTCAACCACATATTATCACAGTCTACTGGAGGCATCCTCAGACCCAACAGGGCCAATCAGTTCATCGGCCTATCATCATGTTGTTGTTGGTTTGTTTGTTTTTTGTTTTTGTTTTTTTTTTTTTTTGAGACGGGGTCTCACTATATAGCCTTGGCTGGCCTGGAACTCACTTATGTGGACCAGACTGACTTTCAACTCACAGAGATCCACCTGCCTCTGCCTTCTAAGTGCTTCGATTAAAGGTGTGTGCTGTCACACCTGACTCCATCTTCCTTTAATCAACAATTAAATCATTACTGTCTTTGGCCAATCAGTGTGTGTCCATCTGTGTTTGTGCTGTGTGGGCACTGGACTTGGGTGTTTACTGGGTTGAAATGGTGAGAAAGTTCTAACTCTTCAAACAATTGTTGCTTATAAGTTTCCTTGATCTGTAGCATTAAAACTAATAGGAAGCCATGCATGGTGGTACATGCCTGTAATCCCAGCACTTGGGAGATGAGGAAGGAAGATCAGGAGTTCAAGATCATGTTTGGCTATGTAATAATTTTGAAGCCAGCTTGGACTATATGAGACCCCGTCTCAAGAAAACCAAAACAAACCAAACAACCCACCCCTCACCAAATATCAACCTTTGATATTATCCTTCAACAGGAACCTTTGATATTATCCTTCCAAGATACACACTTCACGGAAGAGGAAACTGAGAGCATAAAAACTGAATTGTTTGGCTAAAACAACCAGCTACTTGTTATTGGTAAGCCTAGATCTCTTTCTAGCCCTTCAAGCCATCCCTGTTTTTAAGGATTAGAACTGATGAAGAAGAAAAGCTAAGAAAAGTTAAGACACTGGTTTCAGACTTTTTTCCCCCCACAGAAATATTTTTTAACACCTGAAACCTTCCAGTTTATAAAACAAAGTGAAGCAAAGCAGCTGTGGCAGAACCAGCAGAGACACCGACTCCCACCAAATCCACATCTTCCTCCTTTGGGAGACCATATTTTTAGTGAAATGAAACCTACATATAATAACCACCAACAGTTTCAGCTTTTCTGAGTCCAGCAAGAACCACTGCTTTGTTCATTCTTTCTTGGGTGTTGATCTTATTTTGTGAGTGGCTCGATATTTGGAGAAATGCAGTTCAAAGAGGGGGTTGCATTTCAAAATCCAACATACATACCCTCCATGTAGGGTGCCACATACTTTACGATGCATGTCTGACTTCAACCCTATAGGGACCTTCTGGAAAAAGTTTATTCCTTTTATTAATGAAGAAACTGAGTTGAAAAGCCGAGCAAATTTCCACACAGGATGGGTTAAGATAGGAAAGAACAGAACCATGTTTCTACTTTTTTTTTTAATGGCTTTTCAAGACAGGGTTTCTCTGTGTAGCTTTGCGCCTTTCCTGGAATTCGCTCTGTAGCCCAGGCTGGCCTCGAACTCACAGAGATCCGCCTGCCTCTGCCTCCCGAGTGCTGGGATTAAAGGCGTGCGCCACCAACGCCCGGCCCATGTTTCTACTTTTGAGAAACAACTTTGTTTCTAGCACCCAGGCAAGTAGATACCGTAGTAAGGCTTTTCTCAAACAGAAGGGAGAGAGTGTAGTAGGACAAGGAAGGAACACATTGTTGAACTGTGGGTAGAAGAGTGCACTCTCCACATCACCAAGACCAACATACACACACACACACACACACACACACACACACACACACAGATTTTTTTTTTTAAAAAATGAATTAATGGGGTTGGAGAGATAGCTCAGTGGTTAAGAGCACTTGCTACTCTTGCAGAGGACCTGGGGATGTGGGTTCGGGGCGGGCATGCAGGAGGGCTGCCTAGCATACCTTGGCTGTCATACCATCACCAGGCAGCAATCTGTCTTTCGGTCCGTGTTTTCCTGTTGCTAGAGTTCTCACGAGGACTTGGATTCACAATCCCACTCCTTTTTACGGCCCCTCTGAAAGCTTCATGGGACTAGCCTCAGTTGTTTCCTCCACTAGCGTGTTGCTAATACGCGAGGACCACTTTACAGAGCAGGTCCTTCCCTGGCTGCCTATCTCTCTCTCTCTCTCTCTCTCTCTCTCTCTCTCTCTCTCTCTCTCTCTCTCTCTCTTTCTTTCTTTCTTTTTTGAGACAAAGTCTCTCTATGTAGTCCTGGCTGTTCTGGAACTTATTAAGTAGACCAGGCTGCCTGCAAGCTCACAGATATCCTCCTGCCTCTGTCTCCCAATTGCTAGGATTAAAGGCATGCACCACCACACCTGGCCCCTGGTTGCTCTTTTAAATTATATATCATGACACCATAAGCTATGGCTCCTAGAAATTATCATGGTCATTGCATTCTTCCCATGACAACACCACTTTCAGGTATACCAGACCTGTGAATTGGGAGCACCATCAAGCCAATCGAGTCAGGGGCAAGGAGAGACTGGGGAGGCATATTGAAACTGTGTGCAGGCACATTCTTGAGACGGGCAGCCAGTAACTAAACCGCTGTGGGACAAAGCAGCCGCCATCTTTCAGTTCCAGCTTCCGACAAGGTTTGCTTCATGGTCTGAATATTTGCACCTCCCTCAAAATTCACACCGAAATCCTACCCACTAAGTTGATAGCATTAAGAGGTGAAGGTAACTGGGAGGTAATTCTGTCTTTTAATTATTGTTACATTTTATTTTGTGTATGCACGTTTGTGTGTTGTTCTGTATATGTTTATGTGTTTATCCATTGCATATGTTTGGAGATCAGAGAACAACTTGAAGGAACTGGTTCTTTTCTTCCACCGAGTGGTTTCTGGGGGTTGAGCTCAGGTTGTCAGGCTTGGTGGCAGGCGCCTTTACCTGTTGAGCAATCTTACTGATTAGCAATTAGGGGAAGAGTCCTTATGAATGGGATATTGTCCCAAAGAAAGACCTAAGGGAGCTCATTTAGGCTTTCTATGTGAGTACTCATGAGGAAGTCAGCTGTATGCAATACACCCACAGGCTCTTATCAGAACTCAACAATGGCACCTTGATCTTGGATTTTCCAGCCTCCAGAGCCGTGATGAATAAACTTTGTTATTTATCCACTGCTATGCCTATGGTTCATTGATATAGCAGCCAGAACCATCTGACACAGTCCACTCCAGAAGATGGGGTTTGTGGGGGGCCATCCCACCCACCCAGGGTATTCTTGAGCAGGAGCAGCAGGAAATATTAGGTAGAAATATAGCTAGAGAGAAACAGAAAACACAGGATAGCCTTGGGAGGGCCTGGATCCTAATCCATCGGGCCCTGACTGTCTCTGCCAAAGGGCTTTTAAAGGAATGCCAAGGGGAGGAGCAAAAGACCTCCCCCCAGGCACAGCCAAGTGCAGGCCCTTCCAACCACCTGGCAGCCTTGCCCATGGTCAGATCATCCCCTTATGCAGCTCTGCTGTGTCAGGCAAACTCAGATCTCAGAAGGAAACTTCTGTGCGCTCCCACAGGGGTTGAACTAGAGCTTGTGTCTTTCTGGTTGTTTATGTCTTCTTGTATATGAACTGTTGCCTTCCCTGATGCCCCTCCATCATCTGGTTGTTTATGTCTTCTTGTATATGAACTGTTGCCTTCCCTGATGCCCCTCCATCATCATCAAAATCACCACCATCACCACCATCACCACCATCACCACCATCACCACCATCACCACCATCATCACCATCTTATGGTTGTGTTTCTTCTACGCATATTTTCCCCCCTGTCCTGGCCACTATCATCTCCCCCTTATATTACTGCAACCTCCTCACTTGTCTCCCCACCATGAGATTTTCTCTCTCAACTATCCCCTGATTTATTTTCCATAGTATATCTGCTATGGTTTGGGTGAATGTCCCCCAGAGATCCATGTTAAAGAATTGGTTCCTGGTGGGGGCGGAATACTTAAGGGAGGTGCCTAGACCTTGAAGAAGTAAGGTCTGGTACGTCTCTAAGTATTGTGGCATAAATTCCAAGGGGATTGTAAGACCTGTTTTTGTTATTTTGTACATACTGTGACAAAATCTTTAATTAAACAACTTAAGAGAGGGAAGATTTATTTTGGCACAGTTAAGAGATGTCTGTCAATCATGGCTGGGAAGGCACTGGAGCAAGAACTCGTGTGGATGACTGTTCACATGGCCCCAGAACAGGAGGCAGAAAACACAGGGTCTAACCAGGAATGCATACCTTCAAAGGTCCTTTCCCAAGGACCTATTTCAAACCAGCCAGGTCCCATCTCATGAAGGCTCCACAGCTTTCAAACTAGTGCTGTAAACAAAGGATCCAGTGTTCAAAATATGAGCCTTTGGGGGACATTTCAAATTTAAACACTAGCACCCTGGCTATTCCCTCACCTTCCTGACTCAAGATGTGAACTGTCACCTCAGTGTAGACTCCTGCCCTCTTTCCCATGAGTTGCCACTCTCACCAGAAAACAAAAGGGCCTGCTGGATCGTGAGCTTGATGCTCTGGGGTTGTGAGCCAATGTAAACCTATGCCAGGAATCATCTTAATTACTATTCTATTTCTGTGAAGAGATGCTATGACCAAGGCAACTTATAGAAGAGTTTATCTGGGGCTTACAGTTTTAGAGGGTGAGTCCGTGACCATTATGGTGGGGAGCATGGCAGCAGGCAGGCAGGCAGGCATGGCTCTGGAGCAGTAGCTGAGAGCTTATATCTTGAAATACAAACATGAGGCAGAGAGAAAAAACAGGAATTGGCCTGGGCTTTTGAAACCTCAAAGCCCAGCCCAGGAACACACCTCCTGCACCAAGTCCACACCTCCAAATACTTCCCAAACAGTTCCACCAAACAGGCCAAACATCATTCCCATTCAAACACCACAGGTACTTTGCTTAGAATGATGAGAAACTAAAACAATGATTGCTGTGAGTCTTCCAAAATACCAAATTTTAACCTTGTCACTTACAAAAATCCTAGAATTTCTTTCCAATTCTCTCACAATGAAGTATCAACTTTTTAAAAAGATTTATTTATTTATTTATTTATTTATTTATTTATTTATTTATTTATTTATTATGTATACAGTGTTCTGCCTGCATGTCAGAAGAGGGCGCCAGATCTCATTACAGATGGTTGTGAGCCACCATGTGGTTGCTGGAAATTGAACTCAGGACCTCTGGAAGAACAGCTAGTGCTCTTAACCGCTGAGCCATCTCTCCAGCCCGAAGTGTCAACTTTTAAAACAAGACTTAATTTTGTTTATGTGTTTATGTGTGTCATGCACACCTTTGGAAGAAGACCATGTCATATCCTCTGGAGCTGTTACAGGTGGTTGTGAGCACTCCAACAGGAGTGCAGGGAACCAAACTTGGGTCCTCTGGAAGGGCAGCAAGCCTTTTTAGCCTTTGAGCCCTTGCTCCTGCTCTTCAACTTTTTAACATGGTTTTGGACCCCCACATTATAGCTTACCTATGTATTTCTTGACTCTCAACTGTAACTTTCCAGCTTGCAACGCTGTAAGCTTTATCACTTTGAACATCTTCCTGTTGAAAAAGCAGGTTTCAGGAAGCATAAAGGGATACACATGTCTTAAAAACTGCCAGAGATTTCAGCCTTTTAAAGAGGTCCCACTCATTTGCCTTCTATCTTGTCAGTCATTTTCTCCCACTGAGAACTAGTTTTGGGTTTATTCTAGGGTCAGGGCCTCACTGTGTTGCCCAGGCTAACACTGAAATCACAGTCTTGTAGCTTCCTGAATGAGTAGTTGGGGTTAAGGGAATGTGCATAGGTTGTTTTTGTCTGTGGTACTCAGGATGGAATGGGGTCTCATACTTGCTGGGGAAGTAAGTGCTCTACCACTGAGTTACATCACTAGAAAATAGAAAGACCATATGAGATTTTGATTACAGGTAGTAAGGATACACAATGAGTATAGACTAGACAATTAGAGTAAATTGTATAATCTGCCTGCACCATCTTACTTCTGGAAGACAGTAGATCAAATTCCATTTGACTTCACATTAGAAAGAGGTTATAGCTTTGGATCACTTGGACTGTTGGCTTCAGTGTAAATATCTAATATTCAAATAGTGCTTTGTAGGTTTAAAATGTTTTTTACATACTTTATTCTGACTGTCATCAGAGGAAGTGCTGTGCCCTTTTTATGAACGAGGGAATGAAGGCTGGCAGTGGACAACACACACGTGAAAACATATGCAGTATCTGTGTCGTGTTAATGTCCTTCTGCTCTAGTTTAAAATGTACTGTGTTCTAGGTCCTATGCAGAAAGAAGTTCATACCTGACAGTATCACTTTCTCAACTACTTTCTGAGCCACAAGCATCACAGTTACACACTCCTGTCAGCAATGTTTTCTATGAATATTAAATCACGGACAGGCAAAATCAATCAGTCCCTGAGCCTATGTGGCGATGAGACCGAGACTGTCTACCAGTGACTGGGTGTGGAAAAGAAATAAGCATGATTGTGTTGTGTTTCATGATGACACTTTTCCTCATAATAAAAGTAATAACTACTAACTACATTTCTGTAAACTATAAAATATATAATGAAGAAAATAATTGCACCACCTAGAGATAGCTATTAATAACACAAGGTGTATATCATGCACTAGTCTATTTTCAGTCATATTCATTTAGACAAAATTAATCATTTAAGCATAATACTTAATAACTGTCTTTATACTATTTGTTGAAGAGTTTTTTTTACATTAAAAATTTCTCAGCATACATCAGGCTATGTTGGTATATGCCTTTGATTCTAGCATTTGGGAGGCAGAGGCAGGTGGATCTCTATGAGCTCCAGGCCACCTGCTCTATCATATCAACTTCCAGGACAGCCAGGGCTACATAGAATGATCCTCTCTTTTTTTAAAAAAAAATCTCCCAGCACTATACACATACATAATATATGCATGTGTGTACCACAAGCAGATGGTTATCTTAGTTTTTTTCCCTGTTGCTGTGATAAAATATTCTGACAAAGCAATTAAAGGGAAAAGTGTCCATTTTAGCTCACTGTTCAAGGTAGTCCATCGAAGACAGGAGGTCAAGCCAGTAAGAGCTTGAAGCAGCTGGTAACATCGAATCTCTAATTAAGAACTAGGAAGGGATGCATTGCTCACTTTGTTTTCTCTACTTTCTACAGTCCAGAATCCCCTGCTCAGGAAATAGTCCCATCCACAGTTAAGATGGGTCTTTCCACGTCACAGTCAACAACCCCTCACAGGCATGCTCAGGGGCCCATCTAGATTCTGTCAAGTTGACAACACTGACCACCCTAATAGTCAACATTATTCTACTTATATTTTACTTTGGGGTGTTGGGCTTCAAACCAGGGATGTGATGCATGCTGCATAAGCACTCTACCACTGAGCTGAATCTGTGGCCTTCTACATTATTTTTAATAGTTTCATATTAGGTTGTATCGAAATACTTTAATCAAGCCACGCTGTTAGATGTTTCTGCTGTTTCAGGTTTTTCCCTATATTACAAAGAAATGATACCATTTTGTTTCTTTAGAATAATTCCAAGACTGGAATTTCATGATGAAAGAGAAACATGCTTAAGAAAGTTATTATCATTGCCAACTTGACTGGAACACCTAGGAGATGGCGAGGCACACCTCTGGCTATGCTTGGAAAGGCTGACTCCAGAGAGGAAAAGATCTGTTTTGCATGTGGGTGGCACCATTCTATGGGCTAGAAACCTGGTCAGAGTGAAGGGCTGAAGGGAGAAAACTAAGAGAGCACCCACATTTCCCTCCCTGCTTCCTGGCCCTCTATGAAGTGAACTGAACTGCCTCTCCATGCCTCACCCACCATGACGGACTGAACCCTCTGAAAGCATGCCAAAATGAAATTTTTCTCCCTTGAATTATTTCTGTTGAGTAGTTTTGGTCACAGCAATGTGAAAAGTAACTAGAGAAGGAGGGTCACTGGTGTAACTAAATGACAATGTGGTTCTTTGGCCTTTGGAATTGGTTCCCAGGAGGGATTTGGAAAATGACACCATAATCATTAAAATAGCTTGGTACTGGCATTGAAACAGACACTTTGGCAGTAGAGTCAAATATATGTGGAAATTTAATATGCAATATTACAAACTGGAGGGGGAAAAGAAGCTTTTTAATAAGTGGTATTGGCATTTCTGTTTGAAAAGAAAATAAAACTGGCTTGTTCATTAACTCTAAAAACCAAAACAAATTTCAAAAAAGATCTGAGATTTCAATGGAAAAGAACTCTACTGATGTACTCAAAGAGGAAAACATGATTTTAAACAAATTGTGTGGAGGAAAACTTTTAGAAATACAACTTAAGATCCAGAATCAATAGAAAAAATAATTTAAACTGGGCTGAAACTTTATAAATAACTCTCTGTGGGGAAACAAACCTTAAAAGAAAAATATCAAGAATTATTCCTCTTTGACCCCTCAAATAGCATCATTTACAGCCTTTGTTGCCCATATCCACCTATAATTTAAAATACACCTATGGTAACGTATCAGGTAAAACAAAGCAGTATTTTTAAACCTCTAATGAGGGTTAATTTTGGTTGTGAGCCTATCCTTTAACGGCTGAGCCATCTCTCTAGCTCAAGGGTAAATTGTATGGTCATATGACAGAGTTAAAAGATCCCTAGATAACTGGTCAAATATTTAGTTGTGTGCTTCTGAGAGATGAGCATTTGAGTTGGAGAACTAAGTGGAGTAGATACTGTCTAATGTGAGTGGGCACCACTCAACTCATCAAAGGCTTGGATAGAGCATGGAGCGGAGGGAGTGGGAAATCACTCTCTTTGAGATTGAGCTAAGACACTGATCTCTTCCAGCCCTCGGTGTTCCTGGGCCTCCGATGTTCAGATGGGGTTCCTCAGACCCTCAGAGAGGTTCTTTGCTTCCAGACCTTCAAGCCAGCTTATGCACTTTTCTGGGTGTCCAGTCTGTAGACAACAGGTTGTAGAACTTCTCAGCCTCCTTATTTGCGTGGGCCACTACATCTGTCTGTCCATCCTGCCTGTCTATCTGCTCACTCTCTTTCTCCGTGTGAACACTGATGCTCACCTTCCTCGGCTTCACCCCTTCCATCACACTCAGAACTAACTGGTTTGCATTTGTTGCTACAAGCTTTCATTTTATCTTATAGCGCCACCATTTATATATGCCGGAAAATACATCTTTACGTTCATGCATTCACTGCCTGTTACTGTAACAGCATTTCATCTTTCAGGTTGGCCCCCAAACAATGACACTTATTTGTATTTTGTGATGCACTACTTCAGTTTTTCCCCCAATTATCTTGTCTATCAATCAGCTAATGTCATTTGTGATGAGCATTCATGTGCTACTTTTGTTTATTCCCCTAGAATCTTCTAATGGCTTTTTTTAGGCACACAGTAATTGTAATGCAATGAGAAAAAGCATGATGTATTATTGGAGAGATGACAGATGGAAACAGATTTTGTCACAGACATTCTGAGAGCAGAAAATTGATGAGGAAAAATAAAAATGACGCCTGACCTATTTCCAAATTCAATGACTTAAGATCTGTGCTAGTTAATTAGGAGAATCATTTCTAACCCTTACCTTAATTTTCTAAGGTACGTATAACCATCTCTATTTTATAGATAAGACAACTGAGGTTATGGTCATGGAAAATTCTGCAGTGAGTGTCCCAAAGAACATATTAACATGCAGTAATTTGGGGGCAGAAAGCTACATGTGGTACTTGCTGTAAGTGGAAATTACTACATTGAAAAACTCTTAGGGGGGCTGGAGAGATGACTCAGAGGTTAAGAGCACTGGCTGCTCTTCCAGAGGTCCTGAGTTCAATTCCCAGCAACCATATGTGAGATCTGGTGCCCTCTTCTGGTGTGCAGGCAGAACACCGTATACATAATAAATAAATAAATCTTTTTTTTTTTTTTTTTTTTTTTTTAAAAAAAAACTCTTAGTAAGAGTCAAGGTGGTCTAAATCTGGTCCTGCTTCTGCTTCCTCAAGTAATGGGCAGCAGAGGCCCTTGCTGCATGGTAGAAAGGGCAGAGTTTCCTTGAGGAAGCAAGGTCTCTGATCTGCCTTACAGGTTGGGTGAGTCCCACAGTCCATGCCTGTTTATCTCTTAAAGGGAGGTACTATTAGTACTTTGCTTTGGTATATTTGTTTTTTATGGATGCTGAAAGAAAGTACCACAAACTTGATTTCAAATAGAAACTTGAGCCTGGTGAGGTGACTCATACTGCCGTCTCAAGACAGGCTCGAAGTAGGAGACTGAAAATTTCAGGCCGGCCAGGGCTACAGGATGAGTTCCAGGCTGGCTTGAGCTACAGAGTTGAGACTCTGTCTCCAAATGAAAACAGTACTAAATATAACGAGACAGAAATCTGTTGTATTTCAGTTCTGGAGCAGGCCAGAAACCCAAAAGCAGTTTCAAAGTGTTTCGGGGGCTGTTCCATACGCTAGGAGATAATCCTCTTCTTGTCGCTTCCAGTTTCTGACGGCCACTGACTTTATTTTATTTTATTTTATTTTATTTATAGTGACCTTACTCCAACTACTGCCTTCCACTTATCCAGGCTACACGTATTTGCATTTACGGCCTATCTTAATAACCCTGACTAAGCTCCATCTCAAAACCCTTAACTTACTCTCCACACAGACGCTGGACCACATAAAGTAGCATTTACAGGCTCCAGGGATGAAGTCCTGACATCTCTGCGTGCCGCTGTTTGATCTACCCTGACTCGGGCTTGATCTGGGGAGGAAATCCGCTCATGCTGGCCTTAGACTGAGTACAGAATTTGACAGTGGGCAGTTCTGAGGTCTCTAACAACGTCTACCTATTTAAGGTTTCTGTTGCGTTCAAACAAAGCTCGGGTATAAAACCTGTAGAGTTTCAAGGTTAAAGAACGAAGCCAAAACTGGCCTGTTAACAGATCCTTGCCATCCGTATTTGCACATTCTTCTTTCCAGAAAGCCTTGCACCAGGTTAACTCACTTTTCAACACCTCAGGGAAGGATTTCTATCTGGGAGTCCTTGCCACCTCTGTACCCGCCCCTCTAGCACTCCGCCCACCCAATCCGGGCCTATCTATACTGTTGCCTGTCGGAATAGAGATAATTCCACCCAATTATGTTTATTTCCCAAGCTTTTCAGTTAGCAACATAATACATCTATATTCAATGATCCAGAGAGTGGCATTTTTCTTGTATTCAGTTGGAAAACGGGAGTGCAAATTGTTGGGTTTACACAGGCATTTCGTGAGACAGCCCAGAAGAGGAGCGGCGGGTCCTTCGCCCTACGGCCGCTGAGGCCCCGCACGTGGCGCAGGCGCAGTGTCCGCGATTCGCCATGCCGACTGTCAGCGTGAAGCGAGACCTGCTCTTCCAAGCCCTGGGCCGGACCTACAGTGAGTGCCCGCCCCGTGGCCTGGGCTCGGTGCCTGGGGGAGCCTGACTCGCCCGGCGGAAGGGCGTTCTGGCGGCGTTCGTGCCGCCACGCGGGGTTTGGTCTTGCCGGGCGGGAGTCCGCAGGGCTGCGGTGACGGGCGAGGAAGCTGGGCTGGGCTGGAGTAGCTTCTCGGAACCAGCCCTACGGCGGCTGCCGTTGCATCATCCGCCCGTGTCGGGACCTCCGTGTGATCCATTCAGAGAGAGCTCCTACTGCATGCCTAGCACCGACTTCGGTGTCGGGACACAGAGGAGGAAGGATGCCCTGGGTTGCATCACCGGTGTGGGCAAGCTCGGTGGAACCAGGTTGACAGCGAAGGGGAGACGTTTGAGAAAGACGTGGGCCAGGCTGCCTTCGAACCCGCCTCTTGGAACTCAGCTTCTCGAGTGCTGGGATAACAAGCGTGTGCCACCAAGCCCGGCATTCGCTTTGTTTAGTGTAGACTGGGCACCCGTTGCGTGCCAGGCACTGTTGAGAGTAGAGCTGTGCACATGACACGCGAGATCTCATTTTGGTGAGACAGCGACAAACCAGTACGTTAGTAAGACGGTTTATTGGAAATGCTGAGTGTTTTCTAGGAAAGGAAACCAGGTGGTGTGCGGGAGCAGCATTTGACAGGTAACAGTGATTTGAGAACGAACAGAGCCTCTTCTGTGGGCTTAGTATTCACAAGACACTTCATTTCTTTCTCAGTTCTAAACTAAACCATTGGAGGAAAAGGGAGGTAAATATTAAGCAAATTATCATTTTTTACACAGATGTAGTAGTTGAAATGATATCTGCCCCATCCTGTAATTATCAGCTTTGAAGGTCATAACAAGTGACTTATGAGAGCCCTTTTTGGGGGTATTAAATGTACTTAATGATGTATTTAGCAAGGGGTACAGCTCTTCTTAAGAAGATAGTATTGACACTGTGCAACTAAACTTTTGAAAAAGTTTTCTAAGGATGTACTCTCAGATATAGCCCATTCCCTGTTAATCCTCATCTACTTGTTTGTAGGGTTTTGTTCTTTTGAGACAGAACCTTAATCTGTAGTCCAGGCTGGCCTTAAACTTGTGGCCATCCTCTTGACTCAGTCTCCCAAGTGATACAGTTATAGTTGTGAGCAGGAACTGTCCCGCATCCTTAGAAGTAGAGGAAATAGCTTTGCCTCTGAAACGTGGCCCTAGTTTCTTAACCACTTTATATGCTTTTTTATATTCCTCACTTACCCTACACCATATTCTCTCTAGTGGTATTTACCATATCTGAACTACACAAGATGGTGTGTGGTGAGTTTAACACGTTTATAATCAGTTCCCAGCCAGGTCCTTTTCTTTGGAAAAGTAAGAAATTATCTGAATTTTGAAAAGGTAATGGGACTTATAACCTGTTTGCCATTGTCAGATAATATTTAGATAAATTCTCTGTCTGCTTTTTTCCCCACTTTCAAATGGTGAATGATCAAACCAGCTTGGTTTTTCCACACAGATTGTTGACTATAGGATCTTTGGAAACTCTTTCCCCTTCATGTTATCATCTAGTTTGCAAATGAAGTGTGGGTTGGGTCCCGCCTGTGTCTTCCTCCTTTTCCTCGTTCTTCTTGTTTTCAGATGTCTCATTGGTGTTCTTCCATTTTCCTTCCTCGTTTAGACCCTGCCAAGGTCGCTCTCCACCTGAAATCCCATTGTTATTTCCAGTCGCCGCTGTCACCTTCCATGTCTTTTTTCAGTCGGGCAGCATTTGTCTCCTCTGCCTTCCTGGGAGCAGCACTGTCTTTTTTGTCGGTCTCAGTCTTTTGATGGCCTTTCTGTTCAGTTTTCTTTTGCTACTCATTTTCTTGTCAACTGGTTTCTTATCATTGCTTTTCAGTGTGGGCCCTGCTCTAGTTTGGTATAGTAAGTACTGCCAGAGCCATCTGTGTGCCACAGAAGCAGATAGTTTTTTTAGGTCTACTGTTTTTATTGGAGGAAATTATTCATGACTTTATTTTTGGTTCTTTTGTCTAAATTAAAAAATATATAGCTTAAAGGAATAAGGCATAATTAGGATTCAGTGTATTTTAATAGATCCATATGATTTGATTCATTGCCGTTTAGCTGACAAAAGTTTTGCATGTTATAACAATAATTGTTATTTAGTTTCTGATGGTCAAGAATCAAGGTTTGGTGATCCTGGTCTGAATCTTACTCCAGGTTGCAGATCTGTGGTCAAGAGTTCATTGGGGCTGGAGAAGCTGCTTCTAAGTTGTTGTCGTGTGTTTGTTTTCTTTCTTTTTTTAGTTTCTCAAGACAGAGTTTCTCTGTAGATCTGGCTGCCGTGGAACTCCCTCTGTGGACCAGGCTGGCCCTCTAACTCTAAGAGATCTGCCTGTCTCTGCCTCCTGAGTGGGATTTAAGGCATGTGCCACCACTACCCACCTAAGTTGTTTTTAAAATTATTATTATTATTTAGACTTACACATTTTATTTTATATGTATAAGTGTTTTGCTGTGCACCATGTACATGTATGGTGCTTGTGGATGAAAGAAGAAGGCAGATCCCTTACCGTTGGTTGTAAGCCACCATGTGAGTTTTGAAAATCGAACCTGGGTCCTCTGTAAGACCAACAAATGCTCTAAACTGCTGAGCTATCTCTCTGCCCCCTAAGTTTTCTTAAACAGGCCCTGTTTACCTGCAGACTTTTGGCCAGAGGCTTCAGTTCCTTCTACCTTGGCTTTTGTCAATTTGTCCCAGAAGGGCAACTCTGAGAGAGCAGGTAGATGGGAGAGCTCAACTAGTATCCTCAGTGAGTGATAATTGCTCAGAAGTGCTATTTTTTCCATATGTTCTTGCTCACACAGACCAATCCTGACCTGGTGTGAAAGGGAACTAGATAAGCAGTTAGGTATCACTGGTATCATTATCTCCCCCTCAACCACCGAATGGTTCATGTTCATCTGCATGCAAAGTATACTCGGCCCAGAAGTGTCATCTTCCAGCAGCAGCTCAAAGTCCACAATCACATCATTTCAGATGGATGAGGGACCGGGGATGTAGTTCTCTGAGTTTAGCACCTTGTGATGAGTTAACTAGTGATCTGAGAAGCTCAAGCACCATGATAGGTTGTCCTTCATCCATCTAAGATGCCATAGAGGGACAGGCCTGGGGTAACTACTAAAGGGAAGAAAATGGAACTCAAAAAGGAGCCACTGGTCCATGGCAGTTCTGAAATCGGATGGCAAATGCTGGATGGTCTTGATTAGGTCTCAGGCCTGGGATAATTCTCCATGGCGCTGTGCCTTGCCCCCTAGGCTCTGCTTCCACTCTCTGAGTATCCCCAGAAAGCATGTGCTTCACAGCTGATTAGTTTTCTCAGTCTACTTCCTGTTAATAGAATTTTCGGGGCTCAAAGACTTCCTTTTGTCTTGTTTCCGCCCCTTCAGTTCAAGCAGGCTATGTCTGCCTAAGTGTTTTTTCTGAAAACTTTCTGGGTCTTTGGTGAATTTTTGCTGGATTCCTTTTCATTAGTTAAAAACCACAGACTCCAAAAACCTCTGAAATTAGCTGTTTCAGAACTTTGGGCTTTTTCATACCGTGCTCTTAATTAAGCTTTATTGTTTTATTAATTGGATTTGTGAGGTGCATCCTTAATTTCTTTATTGCACCTTTTGTTTGAATGAATTGTGCCTTTGATCTGACTGATGGTTTTCAGTCATACCCTTGATTCTATCTTAAGCCTAGGATTTGGTCTCTGCCCAGAACTTATTTAATTTTAGGATTGCTTTACATTTGGAAGGCCAAACTTTTTACTGATCAACATCCTGACTCTTTGTGTTTAATAGCTCTTCCTATGTTAATCTCCTCTTACATAAGTGGTAAAAAATCTAACTAGTCAACAAACAAGCTGCTCTTGGAGCACTGATCCCAAGTCTCAGTTCCATCAGGTAAGAGAATTTTCTCAGTCCATGTACCTGCAGGAATGGTACTGATCACGTTTCTCCCTTATGTAACAAGGGTGCCCTTCTCTTTTCCTGCAGTACTACCTCACTGTGCTCCCTGCCTTCCCCTGCATCCTGACTCACGTCCACGAGTCTTCAGCTAATAGTGTTTTTGAGGCCCTTGGCTTTTCTCATGCAGCCCTCCAAGCCTGCCGTCTGACTCCAGAGCCGTTCTCACAGTGTGGTTAGAGGACCACTCCCTTCGCAGAGACTAAGATTTGTGTCAGTTATCTGGTGCTACAGAACAGATTATCCCAGTTCTTAGGAGTAGGAAAAAATACGCCTTTGTTGCTTCCCACAATATCTGAGTGACAGGAATCAGGGGGTTAGCTGGGTGATTCTGGCTCTAGGGCTCTTGCTAGGTTGCAAGCAAGTTGTCATCTAGAACTACAGCCACCTCAAGGGTTGGCTGAGCCTGAGCATCTGCTTCCTAGCTAACTCGTGGTTGCATCATATGTAAGTTCACACAGAGACAGGATCGTTGCAGGCCATGTTGGAGGCTAGCTACCTCAGTTACTACATACACAAGTTAATGGTGGCATTACCCTTTTCACCTAAGCCAGAGAGCTGGGGGCCATCCTAGTCTTGCTCACTCACTCACTGTTCCTCCAGTAATTAGCC